AGCTCTGTTGTTGGCCATCTTCATTTTTGCTTCACAAAATATTGTAAAGCTCAACTCAAATACAGTTGATTCTTATTATTCATGGTAGTTGTGTTAATGAAGTTGTCTCAAATACTTAGTGAATACTGAACCATTGCTTCTAGAAGAAATACAAGGTTAGGTTCCTATGAGCCTCTGGTCACATTTTTGTCAACCGATCAATGTGTAACCTTGTTTTATATGTTTCTGTTTAAAGATACCTTATTTAATATATATTGTTGACCCATTAACTTTGAACTCCAGGGCAACAGCACTATAACTCATGCCTGAAAAAAGTTTATCTAAGACGTATTTTGGCTGTCAGGCCCATCACAGCCTTCTTGCACTTAGGAACACAAGAGACAGCACTTGAGCACTATGCTTGAGGCCATTTCAAACAGATATCAAGAAAAAGCACAGAAATGCCACAAAATGGCTTCAAGAAAGGACACTTGTTCACGGTGTGAGAGCTGAAACAAGACAGAACGTTGCCTTGTATGATCCCAGCTGGGAACATGGCACGTTGAGCAACTCATTTTCTGCCACTCTACACATGTCTGCAAATGATTGCTAAAACACCACGAGTATGGATTCTGGGATTACAAATAAATGTTAGGGATATTAACTCTTTGCTTGTTATAAGTTGAATATTTTTTGTGTTTTTGTTTGTACTTTTACTAATTGTATTTTTACTGTGTAGTTTTTTTATGTAATAGAGTTGACCTTTTTTCCTTATTCAGCTTTGACTCAGAGTTAGCAAAGCTTCTCTATTCTCAAGTAACAGAAGAATTTATCCATATTTTCTTCTAGTGCTTGTATGCTTTACTTTTTTCACATTTAAATGTCTGGTCCATTTGGAACTTATGCTGGCGCATGGTGTTTGGAATGGGCACTGTCATCTTTTTTTGCATTACTCTGCCGTGCTCTCAACAACGTTTATTTAAAAGTTCATCTTTTTGCCCACTGATTTGGTGTGCTGCCTTTATCATATCCTAAATTTCCATATAAAATTGGGTCTATTCATGTATCAATATCAAATTGTTTTTAATTATGGAAGCTTTAGAGTATGTTTTAATGTCTGGTAGGGCTGGCAGCTCTTTCCTCCCCTAACCCCACCTTATTGGGAGTTTTTTGTTTTTGTCTTCCAGGATTTTCTAGCTATTCTTTATTTGTTCTCAGTAAACTTATCATTTCAAGTCAATCTGCATATCAAATATCAGAGCTTTTCCTTTGGCTCTTTATTACTTTTTCCTTGCTGCATGGACATTTCTAACTGGAACATTTTCAGTGTTCTACAATAGAGAAATTTCCTCCTGAGTCAATGGAACTATAACTGCCTCATTTAAGTCAATGAGAGAGGGAGGATCCTATTAAGCTCGCTCTCTCTTTGAAGAGTGAGTGGTTCAGGTAACTTGTACCCCCTTGTTTCTCCTGAGCTAATAGTGAGATCCCCAGCTGTGCTGCTGTCTCTGCATGTTCGGTCAGATGTGTTCATCATTCTCCTCTCCTTTTGCTTTTATTCATCCTTTTGGCTGTAAAACTCTGTACTTGCTTGAGATTTCATTCCAGAAATTAGTTGTCATCTGTGGAGCTCCTAAATTATTCCCTGAAGGACCAGATACAATTAATGTTTCCTACTATACAGTTAAAAAGAGACTTTTGAAGGAATCTGATTGTGGCTCGCCATCCATCCATAACAGCACAATTGACCCAAGAGACTCAGCCATCATTACAACAGTGAGTTCAGTTAGGTCACAAAATTAATATACAAAGCTCAATCATTTTCGTATAAAGGCAATTAGAAAATATAGTGGAAACACAAATTCCATCACAGTGGCAAAAAATAAATAAATAAATAAACATGAGATGCCTAGGAATTAACAAAACTATAGAACTTAAATGAAGGTAAAACATACAAAACTCCACAGAAAGACCTGAATAAAGATCAGTTTGGAATAAGTACTAGGCCATATGGTGCTTGTAGTTGAGATGGCCCTGTGTGACCCAGATGATCCCAAATGTTCCAGATTTATGGGCTCAATTGTTTCTTGAAATGTGAATAAAATGACTCTAGTCCTTGCCTTGTGGAAAGTCTAACAGTTTCTCAAAACTCACTAAGCAACTCCAGAGATGATTGAGGGGTGTATGTTCCTGTTGATCATCATAAACTACAGCTGTTTCTCCGCTCTCCTATTTCTTGATCATTCATTTACTCATTCATTCATTTATTCACTATACATTTATTGGGTACCAATACAAGCTATTTTGTACAAGACTTTTGCTGAGGTTTTGAGGATACTAGTGGTGGTTGATAAGTATTATGGGGGAGAAGGAAAACATGTAGTATATAAGAACAAACAGCATAAAAAAAGAAACAGTGAAAAATTAAATATTGCACATATATGTTAAAGTTCACGGATCATCCCCCTGTGGAGAACTTCTCGCTTTATCCTTTATTCTTAGCTCCCACCACTTGCTGCTGTCTTTTGGAGTTGCCTCTTTTTGTCTCAGTATCTCTTATCATCTCAGCCTCTCTCATTTCTGGATCACTTACCCTCTCTTTCTTAGCCTTTGGGAACTCAGACCTGTTATTTTTATAATGGAGAGTAACTTAACTATCTTTCTCTCTCCCTCTTATTCATCCAGATGACACTCAAAGGTGCATCAGTTTTCCTAAGCAAAGAATTCATTGAGCTATTGTCCCTCTCCCCTCCAAAAGCATTTCTCATCCTCTGAAAAGAATTCTTCTCATCTCTAGAGATACAATCTAAAATATCATTTATTTTTCTCCTCATCATACTTGGACATTGAAAAGATCAGGTCTCTCCCAAATTAATAAAGCAAGTAGAATTCCAACTATAATTCTAACTATAATCCCAATGATTATTTTCCTGGAATTTAATAAAATGACCTTAAAATTAATTTGAGGGTAAAGCAAGCTCAAAGAACAAGACAAACCTTAAAAAGAAGAGTAAATATGGAGGACTATTTCTACCAAGAGTAATTTAAACAACACTTATCATCATAATGGGAGAATGAGCAAACAGAAGTAAAACAGAATACGAAGTCCAGAAACAGATCTAAAAGGAAATAAAAAATACCAGAAGAAAACACAAGCAACTGTTTGTGTAATTCTGGACTGTGGAAGGCCTCTGTAATCATGATAACGTGTGCGTGTGTGTGTGTGTGTGTGTGTTCTTGCAAACAAAAACAAAACAAAACAAAAACATGCCTTATATCATGAATAAACCTTGAAAACATACTAAGTGGATGAGCCAGACACAAAAGGCCATGTATTGTATGATTCTATTTATGTGAAATGTACAGGATAGGCAAATCCATAGATTAGGTTGCCAGGGGCTGGCGGGAGGGGATAACGAACTGAAAATGACTGCTAATGAACATGGAAGTTTCCTTTTCAGAGTGATAAAAATATTCTGGAATTAGGTACTGGTGATGGTTGCCAAACTTTTGAATGCACTGACAACCACTGAATTATACACTTTAAAGGCTGAATTTGCTGATATGTGAATTATATCCAAATAAAAAAAAATTTTTTTTAAGATAAATCCGTTCCATTTGGTGTAGCATGGAAATAAAAGACAGCATGCCAGTAGAAAATAGCTGAAGAATATTTTAAAGATAAAAGTACGCGATGACACTTGTTAAAAAATGGTAAGGCAGACTTTACTCCGGAATGTGGAGATAGGTATATGAACCACTGCAATGGGATTTTACCGTGGAGAAGAGAAATTGGGTTCAAATCCTAAAACAGCATGAGCAAGTGAGAATTTAGCAAGGAACAGAGTTGGGGATTATTGGATGGAATATTACTGAGAAGAAATATCAGGGGTTCTGGCTAACCCGACCTATCAGGATTCTTGCTGAAGGCAGGCCAGGATAATCATCACCTGCGGATGGAGAAGGATGTGGCGCCTGATCAGATATTGAGGGTGGGGGATTCTGGTTAAACTGACTTAGCAGGGTTCTTGCTAAAACTAGGTTTTACAAGAAATGCATGTAATGGCCTAAGAAGAGGATTCACAGAGCCTGACTAAAGAATCTTTGTCAGATGTGAATGAAAAATGTTCTAAAGACAAATGACTAATAAACATAAAATACAAATTAAAGCAATGAGATAGAATATATGCCTATTGGCAAAGATGGAAAGAAATTATAAATTTTCATCATTGAGTATATTGTAGTCTAATAGATATCCTTATATACTGATATTGATGAAGATCAATTTAGCAATATATTTCAAAAGCCATAAAATGTGTCCTTGTGATTCCATTTCTAGGAATTTATCTTAAAGAAATACTGTGTGCCATTTCAAATAAAGTAGTAATGTAATAGTTACAGCACAGGAGGATGATTCTACTAGGGAAAATAATTAGAGTGTATAATACATAAAATGAGAGAGACCAGTAGAAGTCTCAAGAATTCTTAAAAGGCTGCGGAGATAGGCAATTTGTATTTTCTTGTATATTATCTATATTTTTGGTTTAGCTATATTTTTCAACTTTTCTGTAGTAGAGGTATCTTATAATCGGAAAATAATAGAAAAGTTGTTTAATACAATTTCAAGTGTGGTAAAGCTTTTTGAGTGTTTCAATAAGCATCATAGTGGAAATGAGATTAGAAATTTCTTATTTTTCCTGTTTCAAAACTAGAGATTCAGGGGAGATTAATTGAAAGCCCTTGAAAATTTCAAAGCCAGATTCTTACTCTCTAGTTACCCATATAAGTTCCCTTCAGTGCTGTGTATAGTTTCAGGATTTGACCAATTGATTAATTGGTGGTTTTATAACATAACTGTTGTAAATTAAATTAAGGTATATCCATTTCAAGAATTTTCCTCTTCAGAGTCAGGTATTTTAGGCTTTAAAACTAGGATCATGCTGCATGGAGGTCTTTCTGATGATTGACTTTAATCGTGTTCCCCAGATATAACAATTTTCTTCTCCCAATTTCCTAGACAGAATCATGAATAAACTGGAGGACAAGAAGGACCAGATGATACCATGAAGAGAAGTTTACAGGCCCTCTATTGCCAACTGTTAAGTAAGTTGATATCACATTTCTTCTTTGCTAGAATATGCCAGTGTTATTGTTTGTCCAGTGCCAGGAACTTATACACTTTTGGAGGAAGACCTGGGTTTGGTCAGTGAGAGAGGAAGTAAATTTTTCCCTCTACTTTTGTCTAGGTTTTTAAAGTATCAAGTATTAAGTTATCCTATCACCTTGGGTATCAGTTGTAATGCAGACTCTGTTATGATCATTCTAAATTGACATGTTAAGCACAGTTAATTCTACAGTGAATGTCAAAAACATTACTGCTCTTGTTTTTGTAACAAAATCAAGGGTGGTCTTGTATGACCCTCTGTAGGTTTCACATGGATTTTTGTCCCATAGAACCTGTTAGCACTCAGTGTTTGTACAGCCTTTGGCTTGGAATGTTTTGCATAGCTACACGTGTTCTTAAGTAATGAGTGGTAAAAATGTGATTTCTTTAGGATTGATGGTGGAATGAAGAGTGTTCATTTATGACTTTTTACGTGTTGCTCATGAGTTTTGGGGGTTTGCCATAAAGTGCCAGTTGCCATCTAGTGCCTGAATAGCCTTTGGGATTGGAATTGTTAATAAACGAATAGAATAACCAATATCAGTTGGTGGGGCTGGTGTTTAGATTAACTTACTTGGGACAGCAGGCTTTGCCCACTGCAGGTCAAACAAAAGCACTCGAGTTAGGAAAACTCAAAGTTCATTGTGTTTGTATGTTTCTTGCTGAGGCAGATAAAGAGGACCTATCTTTCCTATGCTGAGTGGCTCCTTATTAACTTTTGCCAAGAAAATAACATGAAAAGAGATTGAGATGCAAATCAGTTGGCCCTTAAAATTTAGCAGTTCAGGTTACGTTGCACCCCCTGTGCAAAAGCATTTTATCTACAGACAGCATTCTGGTTGATATTTTAATTGACTCATTTCTGCTATTGAATTCTAATCCCTGAAACACAGATCACGTCAGCCTGTTTTCAGCCTGATGGAACATTGCCAGGAGTTGTAGGGATTCTCTCTTATTCTTTTTCCATGTATTCCACAGGACCGTAGGTTTGTCGTTGCCTTTTTTTTTTTTTAATGATAAGCTTGCTTGTTAGAGAAAAGGCTTTATAGATTGAAGAAGCAATGTTATCAATGAATGATTAACTCCACCTTGATGGGAGAGGGGACATTTGAAGGATAAAATTACACACACACACACACACACACTCACTCACTCACTCACTCACTCAAGAAGGGGAGACAGGCTTTACAGGCAGAAGAAACAGGAAATGAAAAGGAGCAAAATGAGTTCACTTATGCTGATTATATGCCTCCGCAGTTTGCATAATATTATAAAGTCAAATATTATTTGAAAGGCATCAGGTCAGTATTCTATGGTTCAGAGCCAACTCTTATGCCATAACAAGGCCCTTCTTCCCAAGCGGAGCATCTGTGAAAGTTGAAGGGGTTTTCTTCAGATTATCTGGATTGCTGGAGAAATCTACTTCGTCTTAACAGTCATTGCAAGTTTGCCTAGAAATGCAGAGTAGGTAGTTTCTTGCTGGTTAGGAGGAAGGTAGATAGTGGCCTTCAGTAAACCACCCTGATTGCTAGATAGCTGATTGTGGGCTGGAGCCCAGCTTGGAACAGAGCTGGAGGGTGGAGCACTTGGGCACTAGACTCAATTAATCTGACTTCAGGGCATGGTTTTCACAAGTTCATTGAGATGAAGGGGACTGTTACTTAAAGCATTTTTTCTCATGAGAGGAACTGGACATTTAGTAAAATTCCTAGATAACGTAAACTGCCTTGCATACATACATACACACACACAATAGCTCATATATGTCATTAGGCAGCCAATTATTAAGTTATGCCTGGATTAACATCCACAAACAAAATGTTTTTTCAGTGTCTAAAATAGACTTAATAATAACAATCAACATAATGTTACTTTATGTGACTCAGCAAACTGATGTTTTTAATTTGTGGGGAAAAAGCCCGATAAAGAGAGCATCTGGTTATCTTTTGTTTCATAACAAACCACTTCAAAACTTCATAGCTTAAAGCAACAACAGTCATTTATTTTGCTCATGAATCTAATTTGGGCAGGGGTTGGCAGACTCTCTGCTCCAGTGTCTGGGTTCTGGGCGGGATTAACTCCAACAGCTGGAGGCAGGAACAGCTGGGGCCCGCCCAACATTTTTTTCCCTGAGGGCTTTTTGCATGACAAAGTGGTGCTTCCTCCCAGCAGAGTAGCCTCAGGGTAGTCAGACTTCTTACCTGGCAGCTCAGGGCTCTGAGGCCAGGGCAAACTCTACAAGGCTTCTTATAAATTAGGCTTAGAAGTCCCAGAACAATACTTCAGTCACATTGTATTGGCCAAGGAGGTCACTAAAACCAACCCAGATTCAAGGGGAGAGAAATTGGACTCTATCTCTCAAAAGGAAGAGTAGTAAGAAATTGTAGTCATCCAGAGTCTACAACAGGGAGTATCTGTTTCGTTTTTTGGTTTTTTTAAACAAACACAAAAAAACAAGCGCTTACTAGTAGACATGAGCCAGTTCATGAGTCACTATAATCATCAGAGAAGCTACTCCCTCTTGAATGCCTACTGTGTTCGTAGACATTTGCTAATCAGCTTCCTGCATCATCTCATTCATATCAAGTACATGCTTCAAGATGAACTGTTACCAATAAATAAGTTAAGGACTAGCCCATGGTGACCAGGTAGTGAGAGATGGAGTTGGAATTCACACTCAGCTCTCCCTGACCTCTTCCTTCATGCCACTTTTTTCATCCTGCATGGCCCCTCTACCACACACAGGAAAAATCAGCAGTGCATCCTCCTTGCTATCCGTATGGCTAGACAGGGGTGATTCTAACTTGTGATCAGTAAGGTGTGCATCTTATTAGTCAGGTGAGGCTAGAAAAAGATCCGGGCTCTCTCTGGATCAGTGCTTCACAGTCAGCAGTCATTGGGGCTTCTGTGTGTCTGATAGGGACTGAGGGATGCAATCTTTGGCAGGCAGGGCAATTGAGGTTTTAATATTTTACTTTTATTACAACTGACTTTCTCTGCCTTTGTTTTATTTCTCGGGCTCCATTCCACAGTGCAGTACCGAGTATTTCATCCTGCCAGCTTTAGCCCTTAGTGAAGGTTTATCACGACTTATGTGTTACCTTGGAACAACCAAAAACTTGAGGATGGGGGTGGTGATGAGAACTTTCGTGGTTAATATGTAAAAACCAAAGCTGCTTTCATTTTTCTATTTGAGATCTAAGTAATAAAGTAGATGTGAAGCTAGTGCTAAGAGTACCTGGACTTCTGAGCTGCATACCAGAGTTCAATTCCCAGAACTACCACTTGGTAGGTGGCTCATGTTAGGTAAGTTACTAAACCTCTATGAATTTGATCCTCACATCTTACAAGGCAAGTGAGATATTAATGATCATTGATCCCATTCTACAGAGGAAGAAGTTAAAATGATCAAGGATGCTTTTCTCAGGCCATGTCACAATTTTTTTTAAAGTAATAGTGGGAAGTAAGGAGCATCATCACAAACCTTTAAGAACACAATGCTGCTGAGAAGGACGCTGAGTCGTGAGTTAGCAGATTTGGTCTTTGCCTCGGTTCTGTGTACTGGAAATTGTTTGTGTTACTTAATTGTTAAAATTAAGACAATTATTATAAGCTTATGAAAATAAGCTTTTATATACTAATGTCTAATCAAATCAAAGTTGTTTGGATACTTAGAGTTAAGGGATGATTAGCTTTAGGAAGTGAATAAGCGTTTGCTCTACGCTCAGGCACTTGTAGTTCTTAAACTATTCTCCATATTGATACATCTTGCTTTTCCATTCTCTGCATACACTGGACTGTTGATCACACAAAGTAACCCTTTGCTCAACCAAAAGAACTGTCTGCAGGCCCCTGTCTTACTTCAGAGAAGGAAAAGAGAGAACTCCTGGTGTGGATTTGGTTCCCTAACCTATAGAGGTTAGAAAGAAAAGGAGACCACCTTTTCTGCTATCTTTACTAGGGAGTACAGGGAATTGTGTCTTGGTCTCAGACTTAAATTACACACACACACACACACACACACGCACACGACCTCCCCCCCGCCACCAAAATCCTTATTAGCTAGGCACACACACACACGCGCGCGCGCGCGCGCGCACACGACCTCTCCCCCGCCACCAAAATCCTTATTAGCTACCTCTCTGGACTTTTCTAGATGTAATGAGAAGCTAATTAAGTGTGGAGTTCATTTCTGATGGACTGAACTGCCTCTCATCTGACCTCTGGGACTGAGCAGAAGCGCCTAAAATACTTTAAAGTGAGCAAACTATCTTTGGTGCCTTTTCAGCTCTAACCAGCTCTTCTCACTAATCAGCTACCTCGTGACTTTATTCTTCTCTCCAGTCACTTCTTAAACTAGAAATTTCCATGTAAGTAATATCTTCTGCAAGGGATTACTATTTTCCCTCTTTTCCCTCCATGCTTATCTTTACCTCATAATAGACCCAAAGTCCCCACCATGGTACCTGTCCAGGCCAGTGGTCTGTGATCTGAAGTTCTTATGTGTTCCATTAAGATGTGAAGCAATCTGACAAAATTAATTAATGCCAAGGTGTACTTCATTGGCTAAGGAGAGTTAAGGAGCTTCTCCATAACTCAAGGATATTTGCATTTTTAAAAAAATTATTTTACATTCTGAAGGCAAATGCTATTTCGGTATCATTTTAAACAGTATTGAGTATAGCAGTTGAAGCAACTAAGTTTCCCAAGGCCTGTCAATTTGTCTGGATCTCCTTGAGTCAGTTTCAGATCATTTCTCTTTCTGGCTCATTCCTTTCCTCTTTGGCCGGCTAAAACCAGAAATGATCTTATACCTTACCTGTACCCTATTATCATCATCATTCATCTAGATTTCCAACCCTGAACACCTGAAGTCATCCTTGACTTGTTCTTTGGCCCACTCTGGGTGCATTTGGATACCAGCTCCCATGGACTCTAA